CCAATAACAGCAGATTACATCTACTTTTAAAGTGCCCGTGGAGCACTCATCAAGATAGACTCGATCTCTGGCCATAAAACAAACCTCAACAAATTTAAAAGAATTCAAATCATACAGAGAGTGTTCTCCAGCCCCAACAGAATCAAACTATAAACCAGCTAGAAACTAGAAATGAACACAAAGATAACAGAAAAATCTCCAAACACTTGGGAACTAAGCAACATAGTTCTAAATAATCCATGGGTCAAAGAAGGAGGCTCAAGGGAAATCAAATAAAACATTGCACAAAATGACAATGAAAGTACAACACATTAAAATCTGCAGCACACAACTGTCGTAGTGCTGAAGGGAAAATTATTACAGTAGATTCATACATTAAAAAAGAGGAAATGTCTCAGATCAGTAAGGTAAGCACCGTTCAAATTGAAATGGAAAGGCAAGACCTTAGAAGAGCTTAAAATAAATTTTGAAAAAGACTGAAGTGGGAGGGATCGTTCTGCCACCCAGCGAAAGGCTTACTGTGTCGCTGCCGTAATCAGGTCAGTGTGGTACGGGTGGAGGCATAGACACACAGACTGGTGTTTAGCTGGAGTCAGGCAGGTGTTGTCAGAAAGGTTTTCCGTTCCATTAGGCCACCTTTCTCTGGTCCTTTGTATCAGGAGAGCAGGGCCTTCATGGAGATTTTCTTGTCTGTGCCTATTCGTGGTTCCCGGATACAGGCTTTCCCAGCCCCCGTCCCGGCTGTACGGGAGGCAACGGGAAACCCAGAGAATGCACTGCCTTGTCATTCTTGAAGTCCTGAGGTCTCTAGCCAAGTCGGCCTTCTTCTTTTCACCTTTTCGAGTCTTCATATGTTTGTTTATGTCCAGAGTTTTCTCGTTGTTAGAGAGGCTTTTCCATCTTGATTGGACCAGGAAATCAGATTTCTTTCTAGGTCTTTTTGAAACCTGATTCTGGCATGCAGGGTGTTCAACCATCCCTCCCAAGCTGTGTGCCCCTTTCAAAGTCAGTGAATTTGCCCTCTAGTCTTTCTTCCAGTTACTGATATGAAATGTTGAGCAGAACAAGGGATAAGGAGTCTGTCCTGGTTTCTCAGTGGTTGTGCTTTATTCCCAGTGTATTTCTGGCTTCCTACAGTTTTCTGACTGACACCCCCAATTCTACATATTGGCTCCAATTTGTCTGTTCCATGATTATCCTGTTCCTATCAATTAACTCCTGGTCCAGCACAAAATAGCCCTGCCAAGTAACCACCATTTACAGGTAAAATATATTTTAAAAAAAGCTCTTGCTTACATGAAGATAATCTGATGATGGTGGCTGTGTACATTAACATGTGGGAACACCATTTGACTCAGAGGATTTTCTTCTCCTTCCTCACCCTTCTCTTCTCTGAACTCCAGCCAGACCTGGAGCATAGAAACAGTCCAGACTGCCAAGGAATGCTCACAGGGGATGCATCTTTTTTTTGTCTATGATTATTTTCAAAATCTGTCATTTATGATGAATTACCATATGCCAGACACTGTGTTAAGAACTTTGCTTATACTGTCTCTAATCCTCACAGTAGTGCTAGGAAGTAGAGACTAATACTATAATCATTTTTTCAGAGGATGGAAGTAAGGCACAGAGAAGATAAGTAACTTTCCCCAAGTCACACAGTCAGGATTTGAACCCAGGTCTCTACAAGAGATCCCAAACTCTTCTTCATGATGTTATACTGCCTTCCCTAATGACTTGGCAATAAAGAGATTTAATCGTTGACTTGGCTTAATAACCAACCCAACTGGCTCTACTAATTCACCCGAAGCCATTGTCTTTCATTGCTGCCTTAGGGTGAATGATAGACTTATCAGGGTGCCGTGGGGCCAAGTGCAGCCTGGGGCTAAGGATGGGAAGGGGGCTGGCTGGAGAGTGAGACAAGCTCAGGTTTGGGGTTTTTTTTTTTTTAGCACTGTAACATTTTTTTTGTATGTTTCAACTTTTTTTTAACATTTTTTATTGATTTATAATCATTTTACAATGTTGTGTCAAATTCCAGGGTAGAGCACAATTTTTCAGTTATACACGAACATATATATATTCATTGTCACATTTTTTCGCTGTGAGCTACCATAAGATCTTGTGTTTATTTCCCTGTGCTATGCAGTATAATCTTGTTTATCTATTCTACAATTTCGAAATCCCGTCTATCCCTTCCCACCCTCCGCCCCCTTGGCAACCACAAGTTTGTATTCTATGTCTATGAGTCTGTTTCTGTTTTGTAGCACTGTAACATTTTTTAAATGTATTTTTTATTGAAGTATAGTTGATTTACAATATGAGGTTAGGTGTGCAACATAGTAGTTCAAAATTGTTATAGATTATACTCCATGTATTGTTATTATAAAATAGTGGCTGTATTCTGTGTGCTGTACAATATATCCTTGTAGCTTATTTATTTTATACATAGTCATTTGTACCTCTTAATCCCCTACCCCTATCTTGCCCCTACCCCTTCCCTCTCCCCACTGGTAACCACTAGTTTGTCCCCTAACCTCGCCTGTCAGTAACAAGCTGTTTGACTTTGGTGGAATTACTTGGCCTCTCTGAATCTCAGTTGTGTCGTCTGTCATTGAGAGAGTTGGAATATCAGAGGGTGCACGTGGGTGTCCTGTGGGCTGAGTAAGGCCGACAGATTCGTTTTGTTTGGGTAACTCAGTGTTACAAAAGAGTTGATTTTAAGCACCTGTAGGTGAGACACATGCTTTCCAGATCGGTGCAGGCTCCGCCTCGCTCTCAGTTTTCCCCTTGGTGGCTGCACTCTTAGTTCACCTGTCAGCTCCCAGAGGCATTTTAGGTTTTGGTCACTGGCCCGGCTCCTCCTCTCAGCTTCCTGAAGACATGTCCAGCCCTAATCTTCCATGGATGTTACGTTCATTGCAAAGTGAGTAAGTCTAGCCTCGCAGGCCCCGCCTGATAAAGGGGAATGAATACCAGATTAGGAATCAGAAGGGTTCTAGGCCCGCATCCGCTGGACACGGACACAGCTGGGCGATCTCAGGCAAGCTAGCTAACTCCTCTGATTTTGTTCACTTATGTGTGAGGTAACATGCCCCGCTATGCTCACAGTGCTATTGTGGAAACCAAATCGTACGAATAGTATGAAGATAACTCTGAAAACCAAGCAACCACCCAAATGTGAAGGATTAGTAATCAGTTACTACTGCTCTGCTGCCAATAGACACCAGCACAGCAGTGCTGGCTGATCACAGTGAGTACCATCCCGATGCACTGCGGCGTCCATTCTGATGGATCAGTACCTGCATCAGGTCAGTTGTTCAGTATTTTGAGTATCACCCCAGTGGTTGCCTGGAAAGAGACAAGGACACCATTGTCTAAATACAAACCTGTTGGATATAGTTTATAATATTTCAGTGCAAGAATTTATGCACACCTAATTTGACTTGCTCTTTCTTCTGTGTAAGGTCTGAGGCATTTGAGAAGGGCTAGGACAACATTGTAAAATGACTATAACTCAATAAAAACATGTTAAAAAAAAAGAGAGAAGGGCTAGGATTCTGGACAAGTACGGGGACTCAAATGTGGTTGAGGCTCACGAAATGTCAATGTGGGCTATTGAACATAAGTGAAGCTCCCTGTCAGCCTGAGTCCACGATCTTCTTTATTTTGGAATGTGGTCCTGTTCTAAGGCTCAGCAATGCTGCCCACCACTCTGCTGACTCGTGCTGTTCCAGCCACTCTGGCCTCCATGCTGTTCCTCAAAAATGTCCAGCGTGATACATTCTCATGGCCTTTGCACTGGCTGTTCCCTCTGTCTAGAACACTCCCAGATACCTGCATACCATGCTCCCTTTTACTTCATTCAGGTTTCCCCCCAAATGCAGCATCTTCTTCAAGACTCCTTTCCTCACCACCCTCAACAGACACCTCCCCATCCCTCTCTCTGTCGCCCTAATCAGCTTTATTCTCATGTAAAGGCTTTATCACCACCTGACACGTGTATTTGTGTATACGTCTCCCTCCATTAAAAAGTGATCTCCAAGGAAGCAGAAGCAGAGATGTCTCCTTTGTGAGCTGCTGTATCCCTGGTACCTAGAACAGTAGGTGCCCAATAAATATTTGTTGAATGAATGAATGAGTAGACAGTCTAGCTGAGTAGAGTGGTAAACCTTCAATTACAACGCAGTGTATTCAGTGTTAGGCTGTGTTTTTACCGGGTGTTTAGGGACCCCTAGTCTGCTGGTAGGTGGAGTTGGAGTAAGAATTATTAATAAAAGCTTCTTGGAGCAAGTAACATCTGAACAGAATCTTGAAGAATGAATAGGAGTTTCCAGGTCTAGAGGGTGGGGGAAGGATTATCCAAGGAGATAAAACAGTGCTGTGAAGTCATATAGACCAGAGATCTCAGAAAGTTCAGTAGTTGTGTGACAGAAAGGAAGAAGTCGGGGAGAGAAGGAAGGATGGAGGGAGGGAGGGAGAGCGAGAGGAAGGGGTGGAGGGGAAAGGAAGAGGAGGGAGAGAAAGAAGGAAGGAAGCCCATACTTTTAAGAAGCTCAAAATGTAGTACTAGGAGATAACCAAGTAAACAATTGCAGTTTGGTAAAGCCAGTGGTAGAGATAGTTTCAGGATCCTGTGGGTACCCCTAGGGAGAAGTCCTCCTCCTGTGAAGGAGGCAGGAGCTGTGGAGTGAAGGCAAAGGCTTGCCAGAGAATCATTCATTTGGCAGACAGAAGAGAGCAGGCCCGGCTGAAGAAGTTCCATCAAGTCTTGCAAGGAAAGGAGCGGTGAGCGAGCAGCAGCAACGTGGGAGGATCAGAGTGCACTCTGCCAGAGAGGAGAGCGGTGTTTGGAGGCGTGTAGGCATAGAGACCATCAGCACCACAGTAAGGGGTCTGGATGGTATTCTAAGAACATTGGAAGCCATTGGGGGAATTTAAGTAGAGAGAGGGGAGAATGTTGCAGATCTACAATTAGCTTCTAAACCAATCATTTCTAGCTTCTCTACAAGAATCAATTGAAAATCAGATCAAGCCTGGAGCCGGAAGACCAGTTAGAAAGCTGCTGTCAGTATCCAGGTGAGACTTATTACGGTGGCCTGGACCCCGGCTACTCAAAGTGTGGTCCAAGACCAGCAGTATGTGCATCACCCAGGAGCTTGTCACACGTGCAGAATCTCAGGCTCCACTACATACCTGTGCAATCAGAACGCACTTTATAATACGATCCCCAGGTGACTGATGTCGTATTAAAATTGAAGAAGCATCAGCCAAGACTAAATAAGGATGGAAAGGAGGGTACAGGCATGAGAGAGCTATTAAGATGGAATAGACAGGACCTAGCATCAGATGTAGTGATCCTTTCAAAATGAACATATTTCTCCAGCTGCTGACATTTCCATTTTTTCATCCGCTAGAGCACCCACTGACCGCGTGCTGTCTTGGACTGGGTTCACACCACAGCTGAGGAGCCAGTCTCTTTTTGGCTGTGGAACTATCTGTAGACAGAAAATTGGTTTCTTTACAGGAGCCCCAGCAGATGGCCCCTGATGCAGCTCAAAATCAATAAAATATAAAATAGAACAGTGTAGGATAATTCCACATTTTTTTTTTGTTTTTGCCAAAGCAGATTTAGACTCCAGCTGTTTCAATCATTTCTTTAAGTCTCTTCAAAGACAACAGTTGACTTTCATTTAGAAACATTGGAGGGGAGAGAGGAATTGAATTACCTTGAGATGTTTTGAAAAGTAAAATGTGATCTCTTTATTCTAGTTGCAAAGGACAAAAGGTATCCTTGCCCTCATTGTGGCTACATATCTTACAAGAAGGAGTTCACGGGGTTATAGAACTGTTGTTTAAAATACGGGGAATTGGGGGGGGGGTTGATCTGGAGCATCCTTAAATGCTGGAGGGTCCAGAGAAGAAACCCTCCCCATGAATAATGATTCCCATATGCCATTTTAAGAAGGAAACTGACTTCACCCATGAGTCAATATGTTTATTCCTATTAGATTAGGATGACAGTTACTTCAGCTGCTGACCTCTTGTTTCTTTGTCCTCTGAAAACTCCAAGGAAAGCTGTTAATTAACGAAAAATAATACTCCTCATTAGACCATGGCAGCCATGGTGGAAAAGCATGGGACACCTTACTAACTTCGTTGGGAGGAAACTTATTCAGACACTTATTTAGCAAAAATCTGTTGAATGCCTACCAAGTTCAAGATACTGCGCTAAAAGAGTTCTTAGCTGCAATCAACAGAAACCAACTCTGGTTAACCTAAGGAGAAAAGGAATTCAGTGGCAGGAATTCAGGTAGCAGAGTTGACAGGAAGGCTGGTGAGCCAGGCTTCGACACTGTCTGAGACTGCGGGATGCTCAGGGGTCAGCGTCCCAGCCAAGCTCACACCCCAGGAACGGACTGGACACTGCATCCTGAGACTGTCACCATCAACCACCACCAATGACCACTTGGATGCTGCCATTAGAAGGAATTTGGAACTGTCCCTTGCTTGTTTGCAGCACTGGCTCCAGATTCAAAGTCCTGTACAAGAGTCCTAGGTTGATTGAGCCTAGGGGGGACAGGGGGAGTGGTAATGAGTGCCCTGAGCTCTCTGCTTCCACATCTGATTTCCAACCAGAACTCCCATTGCCTAAACTCAACCAGAAATCAGCCAGCAAAGGGGCTCTGGGGATGCTGTCTACAGGGATCAGCTTTCAGGGTCAGGGAAAGGCTGATAATGAAATGGGGTAAGAGGTAGAGAGGTAAAGGGAATAACCAACACACCTTCTGACTGGTCACTTTGCTTCTACTCTTCCCAATGCCCCAAATCTATTCTCCACAGAGCAGCCAGAGTGATCCTAAATAATGCAAGTCATGCCTTGGGCCTGTTTAAACCCCTCCAGTGGCTTCTCATCACACACACACAAAATAAACTCCAAGCCCGCCACCATGTTCTATATGGCCCTACCTCTTTGACATCATCTCCCACCACTTTCCCTTTGCTCACTAAGTTCCGGGCATGTGCCAAACTCATTCCTATCTTAGAGTCCTTGTATTTGCTATCCCTCTGTCTGGAACATTTTTCCCTGAGCTCACTGCACGGCTTCCTAATTATTCAATTTAAAACACTCCTTAGAAGCTCCAGTGGCGCAATTGGTTAGCACGCGGTACTTACATAAAACACTCCTTAGTCCAGCCACTTTCTATCACATGACTTTCTTTTATTTCCTTCGTGGTGCCAAAGGATTTTGAGACCACCATTCAATATCTGAGTTTCATTGGAGATGCTTATGTACTCATCCAAGTAGTGATGTCAATGAAGTAGCTGGATATATGAAGTCTTTTTGTTGTTTTTTCAGGCTTTAGGGCTTTATTTTTTTATTCTGATTGAATTTTAATTTCATTTTTAGTTTATAAAAATTTATTAATATAAGTTTAGTGAATTATATACCTCTGCATAGCCAATACCTCTATCAAGACATAAAACATCTCCATCACTTTTGAAAGTTCTTCCATGCCCCTCCCCTGACCCAATGTTCTGATTTCTATCCTATAGATTAGTTTTGTGTGTCGTTGAACTTCATATAAATGAAGTCATATGGTGTATACTCTTAAGTTCAATGCCGTATTTTTGAGATTCAACCATGTTGTTGCATATATCAGTAGTTTGTCCCTTTTACTGGAGATTAATATTCCAGTGTATTAATTTACCACAGTTCTCCATTTTTCCTGTTGGTGGATGTATATTTTGGTCCTCCACCCCTAGTTTTTAACTATATAAATAAGGCTGCTGTAAGCATTCTTATTTGAGTCTTTTTGCAGACATATGCTTATATTTATTTTTGATAAATACTCAGGAGTAAAATTATATGGGAAGATATATGTTTATAAGGATATGCTACATAGCTTTTCAAAGTGGTTTACCATTCTATATTTCCACTAGCAGTGCATGAGTTTACCAGTTGCTCCACATCTTTGCTAGCAGTTTATGCTGTCAATCTTTTTTATTTTAGCCATTCTAGAGAGCATGAAATTGTATTTCATTGCAGAATTAGTTTGCATTTCCCTGATGACTAATAATATTGAGAACTTTTTTTTTTAAATATTCTAGCTGGAATTCCATTAAAGCCTCTGGAACTCTTTTTTTTTTAATTTATTATTTAGTGTTATTATCTTTTTTGCAGGCGGAGGTAATTAGTTTTACTTATTTATTTATTTGATGTAAGTACTGGGGATTGAACCCAGGACCTTGTGCATGCTAGGTATGTGCTCTACCACTGAGCTATACCCTCCCCACCCCCAGAGGCTTCTCATGTGTTTATTGGCCCTTCATCTACCTTTTATTGTAAAGTGTTGAGTCTTTAGCCCATTCTTCTGTTGGGTTTTTTTGTCTTTTGTCTTTTATCAGTTATATGTATTGTGAATATTTTTCCCAATCTGTGGCTTGACTGTTCATTTTCTTAATGGTGAGTTTTGATGATAAATTTTTAATTTTGATGAAGTTTCATTTATCCTTATTTTTTCTTTTATGTCAGTGCTTTCTATGTCTTATCTAAAATACTGTTGCTTATCCCCAGATCATGAAAATATTCTCCCCTATATTCTTCTAGAAGCGTTATAGTTTTTAACTATATCTAACTGCATTTAGGTACATGATGCATCTCAAATTAATTTTTAAGTAAGCAGTGAAGTAGGGTCAAGGTTCATTTTTTTTCCTTAAGAATATCTGTCTGTTCCCAGTACCATTTGTTGAAAAGAGTGTCCTTTCCCTATTTAGTTGCCTTTGCATCTTTGTTGAAAATCAAGCATATATAAAACGGGCTCTCTACTCAGTTCCATTGATCTATTTGTCTATCTTTATGCCAATACCACACAGTAGATTTAGAGTACGTATGTATTAATTCAGATAGTGTGCATCATCCAAAGTTTTTCTTTTTCAAAATTCTTTTGGCTAGGTCCTTTACATTTTCATATACATTTTAGAATCAGCTTGACAATTTCTACAAGAGAAATTTTTGGGATTATAAATGGGACTGCATTAAATCCATAGATCAATCTGGGGAGAACAGACATCCTAGTAATATTGATTCTACCAATCCATCAACATGATGTACCTCTCCATTTATTTAGGTCTTCTTTAATTTCTTTCAGCAATTTTTTTTTAGTCTAGAGAGCTCAAATGCCTTTTATTACATTTTTTCTGGGTGTTTGAAGTTTTTTGGATGCTATCATAAATAATAATGTGTTTTAATTGTTCATTTCCCACTTTTTCATTGCTAGTGTATAGAAATACAATTAATTTTGTATATTGGCCTTGTGTCTTGTGACCTTGCTTAATTTATTAGCCCTAATGATTTTTTTAGATTCCTTAGATATTTTTCTATACACAATTATGTTATCTGAATAAAAAATTTACCTCTTTCTTTCTAATTTATATACTTCTTATTTCTTTTTCTTGACTTATTGCACTGGTTAGGGCCTCCAGTATGATGTTGAATAAAAGTGATGAATGGACATCCTTGCCTTGTTACCAATATTAAGAAAAAGTACTCAATATTTTGCCAGTAAATATGATGATATATAGATCTCAAAAAGAATACTCTGGCTACCATCTGAAAAAAAAGGGCTCAGTGGATAAGAAAGATAGTGGATAAGAAAGATAGAGATGGAAATTTGTGATTCACAATTTTGGATAGTATTTAAAGTGTGAGTCCTGAGGAATAATGATATTTAGAAATTGGGTAATAACAAAATAAGAATAAATCAATAGGAGGACTGGAAAAATGAAAAAGATGCCATCAGAAGATCAGAAATAATAATAGATATTATTTATTTTTTATTTTTTAACATTTTTTATTCATTTATAATCATTTTACAATGTTGTGTCAAATTCCAGTGTTCAGCACAATTTTTCAGTCATTCATGGACATATATACACTCATTGTCACATTTTTTTCTCTGTGAGTTATCATAACATTTTGTATATATTTCCCTGTGCTATACAGTGTAATCTTGTTTATCTATTCTACAATTTTGAAATCCCAG